TGGCGCAGGACAGGATTGGTTTCAGATCTTTTGTTCATAGGGTTATTATGTGTTTTACTCGACTGGATGGCACCTAACAACAAAACACAACAACAAAATTGACATTCATGGTTTGGTTCAAAGTTACAAATGCTAGATATTGAGGATTGTGTTTGTGTTCTTATTTGGTCTTTGGTGTTGGTGTTAGTTTACACTGTTGATTACAACTCATCATGACTCTGTGAACAACAGACCAGACTTTCCCCATTCTGTACTATCCTATTATTATCCAACATATTTAAGCCCATTTTTATAGTCTAAAATCCATACCACCAAGCAGCATCATGACAGAAGGGAAAAAATATTGAAGTTATTAATTCTTTCATCTTGCTCAGATCCATAATCAATACTCTTGGAACCAGCAGTCAGAAAATCAAAAGATGAGTTGTATAGGGAAAATCTGCTGTCAAGAACCTCTTTAAAGTGCTAAAGAGCAAGAGTGTCAGTCTAGAGACTAAGGTACACCTGATATATTCCACGATCTTCTCAATTATTTGCTTTGCATCTGAGAGCTGGACAGTGAATAAAGATGACAAAACAATCTATGCCTTTCAGCTGTACTGCTGGAGAAGAGTATTAAACATATCATGAACTGCCAAGAAAACAAACAGGTTTGTTCTGGAGAGGGTGAAATCTGGTTACTCCTTGGAGGCAAGGTTTTGGGTTTTTTTTTTCCTGTCAAATATTTACTCAGCTGATATTCTCTACAGAAGCACTTGACCAATTTGTCCACAGTGAATCTCTATGCACACCAAAAAGGTTTCTGTAATAATGACACTTTATACAAACCTGTATACCAAGCCACCAGAGCAATTCTCCATCTCCCAGGGGAGTTATTAAAACAGGATACCTGAGGCTTCATTTCTTCAGTGGCCTTATCATAATCCCAAATATACATTTCAGGCTTTGTTTCTTGTTTTTTTTGAATATGTGCTGTCCCTTGAATATGTGCTGTATAATAAAAATAAAAAATAAAATGATAAACTGATCGCTTGCAGTGATCCACCCCGTCAGAGAGGCATCATCTTCCTGTGGCACAGAGAGGACTGTGGGTCCCTGAATGAGCCCCCTGGCTCTGGGACCCCTGCAGTTGCACACCTCTTCTCAGAGCCAGCAAAGGGCTCTTGTTGTCTTTTAAAAAGGAGGAAGATAAGGAAAAGAAAAAAGAAAAGGGGAAAAGACAAAACCCAAATGCCATAGGAATTTCAACAGGATGAGGTTCCTCTATCACTTAGGAAATATTTCTGGAGCCGCTGTATGAACTGGGTCCCCATGGTGTTGGAAATTCCGGGGCATGCCTCTTCCACTAGGCTGAGGGCTACTCAAAGTTCCTCTATGGGCTCCCCATGTTACCTTTGCTTGTGTGGCTCTACTCTTTGAACTCTGCATACAAAGAAGAAATAATTGTAGATAAACACTGAGAAAAGGCCTCTTTGGGGTGTCTTTTACCTTATTGCTTCCTAAATCTGAAGAGTTCCATTCTCAAGATTCTTTGGGTCTTTTTCTCAGGTTGTGAAGATCCAGTCTCCAGAGTCAGTGTCTCTGTATGCTTGGCCATCTGTTTCCACATCAGAGTCTTCAGAGCTGTAGCCATCATGGCTCTGCTCAGCCTTTCATTGCTTGTACCAGCAATTGAGCTCAGGTAAAAGATCTTTGCATTGCATAATATAAACTTGTGTTTCAGTAACTCCTTAGCAGTGGGTCTAAAGCTTGGCTCCTTTTTCAAACAGGCTTCCACGGCAGTTTTCTGTAGTTTCCTTCCAGTGTTGGTGGGTTGTTCTTTGGAATGAGGAATTAAACCTTCATGGGATGCAGCTTGGAATCCAATCTGTCTTAAGTATTTTGGGCATGTTGTCAGGAAGGACCAGTCTCCTTGGAGAAGGAAATCAGGCTTGGAAGCGTGGAGGGTCAGTGCAGAGAGGAAGACCCTGGATGAGATAGATTGACCCAGTGACAGTGGCAATAGGATTAGGTGTCAGAGACACTGAGGTTGGCTCAGGATAGGGCAAGGTTCATAAGGTTGCTATGAATTGTAGTCTACTGGACGGCACATACCAACAAGTCAGTCCATCTTGTTGAGGGTCACTCTCTCTTTTGCTGATCCTCTCTACCTTTCCCAGCCTGATTCTTCCAAGGCACTAGCCTATATATAGACACACATATTATCTACAATGAAATTTTGTTCTCATTTAAATTCAAATTGATTTTGGCATCTGAGACAGATGTTATGCATCAATGAAATGACAGATTGTAGCTTTTATTTAAATAGTAAGTAAGATTTAGCTTATGTTTATATTTATTGGAGAAAATATCTAGTGAGATTACCCAAGTACTTTCTGAATTTCTTTTTAAATGATAAAGAAAGCAGAGGACTACCACACATGATTTAGGCTGATATTTAGATATGTAATGAGCAACACTAAGGATAGTGTATGAGTTGTATTCAACTCAACAGCACTTACCAACAACATGAGGAAGGCACAGGGTAGGACAGGGTTCAGATTTGTTGTTAATATGATTGCTATGAGTCGTACTGAATCCATGGCACTTAACAACAGCAGCGAGACTGACAAAACTAAGGAGAAAATAAACCTAAAAGGAGAGAGAGAGAGAGAGAGAGAGAGAGAGAGAGGTGTCAGGCTTTAGTGATACAAGTAACAGTAGCATTCTTGTTTTCCTCGCCCTTCATCAAACTTGAAGCTGATTCTTATGTCAGGTGAACAGATAAGTCACATTTAAATGTGTGTTAAATCATGAACAAGGATTGTAGCACCAGAGTTTAAAAGTCTCTAACTTTAAGCTCTTGCATTCTTTGATTTCTTCTTTTCCTTCTTTATTGAATTACAAATAAATCCAGTGAAGTGCATGAGGCACTTTAATCCCAAGTGTACAGTATGAAGAGATTTTACATTTGCACAGTCCTTTTACAGACTAAGATAGAAAGCATTTTGTCTGTTAAGTTATATGCAAATTTAGCGGGATTAAGGTCTTCTAAAAAAATGGCTTTCTTTTAAAAATAATTTTTATCACTGCAATAGAGTTAACTCAAATTCCTACAGGAGCCAGGTGGTTCATATAAAAGAGTGACATGAATGAACAGAAGATTGCTATGATTAATTGGAAGTAATATTTAAAATCTGATTTCTTGCTATTATAAATCCTCTTAATAAAAACTTTGTCAATAAAGTTCTTTTTCTCATTTCGGAGTATTTCTTTAGGACAAAATCTTAAGAAGTAGAAATACTGGATAAAGGAATGAAGTGAATTTTTAGATAGCTTTATCAATATTGATGAATTTGTTTTCCAAAAAGTGACTGTGGTAGCTATAGGAATACACCATGCGGTTTTCCAGACTCAGAGCATATTGATAAAGGATTCTCAACTGTTGCTTTGAAATCTTTCCCTACAGTTGTGCCAAGACCATTTATAGGGTTTTAATTAACCTATTATTTCAGAAGTAGTCAAACAATTTCCTAATCTATCATAGTCTGGAAACCTCACTGAAACATTTCCACCATGGATGAACTTTCTGACCTTTGAAATGCTATTGACATAGCTGAAAAGGGAGAATGTAAGATCTTGACTGAAAACTAGAGAATATTAGAAAAATATTTACCTGTGTATGCTGAATATGTGTCAAATGCATTAACGGTTACCCATGGTGGACAGAGTTTGGTGGAGCTCCCGATTAAAACAAGCTTGGAAGCAGGAGTGGCATCCACTTCTGTAAGAGCTTGCCTCTGGAAACCCTATGAACCTGGAGAAAGAATCAAAGACACACAAGTGTTGAGGACTTTCATTCATAGGGTCGCTATGAGTTGCCTACTACTCGACAGCACTTAACGACAACAACAACATTGCTGAATATGCAAAGACATTTGTGTGGATTATAGCACACTATGGATAACATTGTGAAGAATGGGATTTTCAGAACACTTAATTGTGCTTACAAAGAAGCTGTACATAGACCAAGAAGCAACTGTTCTAACAGAACAAATAAATACTACATGATTTAAAAGAAAAAAGATATGCATTAGAGTTGTACTATTTCACCATCTATATTCAGTCTGTAAGGGCGCTTTGATGGCTTAGTAGTAAGGAGTTGTGCTGCCAACCCAAAGGCAGGTAGTTTGAATACAAAAGCAACTCTGTAGAAGAAAGAAAGATAGGCTGTCTCCTCCCATGTGATTTAAAGCCTCAGAAACCCTGCTGGAGGGATAGTTAGGAGTCGGTTCTGACTCAATAGTACATAACAACAATATTTAATCTGTATGTTGAGCAAATAATTTAAGAAGCTAGCCTATGCAAAGAACAGTGCAGCATCGGGATTGGAGGCAGACTCATCAACCTGCACTATTCAACCTGCCTGTAGAAAATGAAGACTTGATGCACTTACTGATGAGCTCAAAGACTATCTATCACCTTCAGTATGGACCACACTTGAAGTTAAAGAAAACAAAAATCTTTACAAGTAGATAATCTTCATGGTGAATGGAGAAGATTAAAAAGTAAAAAATTTAATTTTATTTGGATCCACAATTAATTCCCAAGCAAGCAAGCAGCAGTTAAAAAAAAAAAAAGAAAAAAGAAATAAACCAAATAACATATTACTATAGACAACATATTACTGTTGTCAAGGATCTCTTTCTAGTGCTAAAGAGCAAGGATATCACTTTGAATATTAAAGTGCACCTGACCCAAGCCATAGTATTTTCGATTTTTTCACATAAACATGTAAACTGAACAATGCATATGAAATATTGCAGAAGAATTTATGCCTTTGAACTGTAGTGTTATGAACATATTATAAAGAATTATGAACATTTTATGGCTTTTCAAAAGAACATACATACTTGCAGACAAAGTGAAGCCAGGATGTTGCTCAGAAGCAAGGGAGGTAAGACTTTGTCTCATATTCTTTCAGCATGTTATCAAGAGAGCTTAATCTCTGGAGAATGCCGTCAGGCTTGATAAACTAGAAGGTCAGTGACAAAGAGGAAAACCTTCAAAAAGAGAGATTTACACAATAGTTGCAACAATAGACCAAAGCAGAGCAACCATTGTGAGGATGGAGTCAGGTTAGGCAGGGTATAGTGCTGTTGTATGACGTGTGGCTATAAGTTTGAGCCAGCTGGATGGCACTTAACAACAACAACAACAACAACAACCAATCTTCTCATAACTGCTCTCAGTTGATAGCTAAGCCTGACAAGACTACCAAAGCAGTTTTGTTCGCTGGATGTTGGAGCTCTCTAGGACAGATTTTGGCTTGAAGACCTCCTAGATGGTCTTAGATGTTTGCACCCGTCTTCTGTCACAATTTTCTTCTATGTCCTGAATTACATTGCAGTGTGATGGCTCTCTCAGACCCTTTGATTCTCTCCTTATTTCCTCGTATTCAAATATTTCCCCTAATAAAACGGAACTTCAAAGCAAAGTATTGCAATGAAATGTGCAAAGAGCTGGAGTCAGAAAACCAAAAGGGCCGAACTTGTTCAGCATTTCTTAAGCTGAAAAAACTGAACAAATTCAAGCCTCGAGTTGCAGTACTTAAGGATGCTATGGGCAGTATGTTGAATGATCCAGGAAGCATTAAAAGAAGATGGAAGAAGTACACAAATTCACTCTACCAAAAAGAATTGGTTGATGCAGAAGAATTTTATGGAAAAGCATATGATCAAGAGGAATGGTGATGGATTGCAAGAACATGGAAACAGCTCAAATGTCTAACTACAATCAAATGGATTGAGAAATTATAGTACATTCACATGATGGAACACTATGCAGCAGGCAGGAGCAGTAATTTTGTAAATTGCTTCCTATCTTGGGAGGGACTGGAAAGCATTATGCTAAGTGAACCAACTTAGTCCTGTAAGGACAAATACTGTGTAAGACCATTATTGTAGAAAGTTTATGAGGATCCAAGAGGGCGTGGGGGAAGTAGAGGGGTGAGGATGGGTGAGGTGGTTGTGGGGGTAATCATAGGGTTGTACAATTTGATAGGTAGAGGGAGCGGTGGGTAAAGGAAATGGGAAAGATCTGAAAAGGTGAAAAACAATGTATACAAACTTTGTAAGTAAATCAGTATAAAATGAAGAAAAAAAAGAAATAAAATGGCCTAATGCAATGGGAAAACTGGCTTCAAAAGACCTTTGTTTGCAAAAAGGACTCGGGGGAGGGAGATAATTGCACAATAATGAAAAGAAAAAAAGAGGACTGGTGATGAAGGAGGAAGTTTAAGCTGCTCTGAAGGATTTGGCAAAGAAAAAGGCCCCAGGAATTGATTTAATACCAAGTGACAAACAGTTGCTGCCCTGGATATGCTCACAAGTTATGCCAAGAAATCTGGAGGACAACTACCTGGCCAAGTGACTGGAAGCGATCCATATTTGTTCCCATTCCAAAAAAGGGTGACCCAACAGTGTGGAAAATATCGAACAATATCAGTGATATTACATGCAAGCAAAATCCTGCTGAAGATTATTAAAAAATGATTGGAACAATACATCAACAGAGAACTATCAAAAATACAGGCCAAGTTTAGAAGAGGCCGTGGCACAAGAGACATAATAGTAACGTCAGATGGATCTTGCCTGAGAGCAAAGAGTACCAGAGCAATGTCTGTGTTTCACTAGTTATGCGAAGGGATTTGACTGTGTGGATCACAAAAAATTGTGGCTAACCTTGAGAAGAATGAGAATCTCAGAACACTTGATTGTGCTAATGCTGTACTTGGACCAGGATGCAATCCTTAGAACAGAGGGAGGAAACACTGCCTGGTTCAAAATCAGGAAAAGAGTGCCTCAGGGATGCGTCCTTTTAAATCTGTATGTGGAACAGATAATTTGAGAGGCTGGATGTCATGGAGGAATGCGGCATCAGGATTGGAAGAAGACTCGTCAACTACCTACATTAGGCAGATGACCAAACTTTGCTTGCATAAACTAAGGTAGACCTAAAGTGTTTGCTGCAAAAGGTCAAAGACTGTAGTCTTTAGTATGCACTGAAGCTCAACACAAAGAAGACAAAGATTCTCACAATTGGGCCAGCTGACAGCACCATGATAGATGGATAAGAGATTGAGGTTGTTAATTATTTCAACTTGCCCACTCTTGGCACCAGAAGTCAGAAGCTCAAAAGACGCAGTGCTCTAGGGAAGACTGCTGTCAGGGATCACTCAAAAGTGCTGAAGAACAATGATGTCAATCTTGAGACTATGGTATGCCAGATGCAGGCCATGGTCTTCACAGTTACTTGTTATGTATCAGAGAGCTGGACAATGACCAATGATAATAGAAGAAGAATTGATGCCTTTGAGTTGTGCTGGAGGAGTATTGAACATACCATGGACTGTCAAGAGAACAGTTTTATCTTGG